TTCGTTGAAAAAGTGTTTCGTAGTGATAGAGCGTTAAGGCCGAAACCCACTAGCAACACGCCACGCCACCCCACGCCATGTGACACATGTTCACGTGGGACAGTTTGTGTGCAAATGGACGGATGGCGTGGCGTGCCATGGCGTGGTATCGCGTATGGCAAGTATGTACGCAGCAGATATAAATACATGGAAGAATATACGCATACATTTTCGTCACATGGCGTGGTGTGGCGAAGCATGACGTGGCGTGTTGCTAGTGAGTTTCGGCCTTTATCTGTGTGTATTTGTGGACTTTCACAGTGTTATGTTTAGTGTAATAGTTATTTATGATATAAGTGCTAAAAGTGACATTTTATTTTGTGAAAAGGGAAGTTTGGGACACGACGCCGAAGGCGGAGTGTTCCATCCCTTTGAACAAAATAAAATCACTTTTCGCACGAATGTCATACACTATTTTTTCTACAAACGCACTAAAAGTGATTACTTTTAGCACTAGTGCTAAAAGTAATCACTTTTAACACCAGTGTCATAAAATGGCATTTTAGACACTGACAGCATCCGTTAAAAATTACACTTTCAGTGACGTTTGTATAAAAAGACTATTATTGTTATTTAATTCTGTGTTGTTAAGTGTTGACTTTGTTGACAAGTTTCGAAAAGTCCACATTATTTTCTTCTTTCATTGTAATAAACCGTTATTTGTTAAATTTGTATCAAATTGTGTCTTTATTATAAAATAAATAAAAAGCAAATCTAAAAAAAATAAGAAGCAAACTACTCTACAAGCTGCTACAATGGGATGAGCTCATTTCATAGACAACAGATGGCGCCACAAATGGTATTCCGACCCGTATAACGGGACTGTCCATTCTATACCCACTATAAACCTTATTCTATGCAATTATTCAAACAAAAAATCAAAAATAATTTTCGGAATCGCGTCTAGTCAAATGAATCCGAAGATTTTGGAAGCAGCTCGTGCTGCTTCAGCAACTCTGCTGCCTGAGAAATCAAGAGCAAAATATGAGAAAGTGTATGACCAATTCCGTCAATGGAAATTAACCAATAACGTGGAAGAAGTGCCGAATGAGAACCTAATGTTGGCTTTTTTTTATGAAAAGGTAAATCTTCAAGTTTATGGAGCTATTATTCTATGCTGAAAAGCACAATTCAAATGAATGAAAATATAGACATCTCCCAGTTCAAAAAGTTGCTTGCATTTCTTAAACGCCAGAATGACAGTTACGAGCCCAAAAAATCGAAAATTCTTTCGATGGAAAATGTGCAAGATTTCTTAGAAAAAGCTCCAGATGTAAATTACCTCTTGATGAAAGTGGTCTTAATTTTTGGTCTGAGTGGAGCTTGCAGAAGAGCAGAGCTCTGCAATTTAACAACAAATGATATAAAGGATAACGGATCAATGTTGGTGGTGACACTAAATGACACAAAAACCAAGAAAAAGAGGATGTTTGCTGTCACCTCAGAATGCCATGGATATGAACTATATCAAAAATATGCACGGCTTCGTCCCAAACATATTAAACACTTAAGATTTTTTTTGTATTATAATAAGAACAAATGTTCGTGCCAACCAATCGGCATTAATACAATCGCCGCTGTACCAAAAAAAATTGCCGAATTTTTGAAGCTCCCAGATTCTGCCAGTTATACAGGCCATTGCTTGAGATGAACCTCAGCTACTTTTCTAGCCGACAATGGAGGAGACATACAAATGTTAAAAAGACATGGAGGGTGGAGTTCAGATACTGTTGCCGAAGGATACGTGGAAGAAAGTATTGAAAACAAGTTAAAAACATCGAAAAAAATATTTGAAAACCTACAAAACAATTCATTTTCACCATTAGTACATTTATCTGCTACTACCGAGACCACTACATCTGCGCCATCTTCTACCACCGTTTCAAGAAATGAATCTGATGAAAATTTGGATAGTATGCCTGCTGTATGCGGGGTTGTCCTGGATCAACATTCCAATTCGTCTATCCAGCAAACTCAAAAAATGGAAGTTAATTCAGGATCAATTCATTTCTCAAATGTTAACAATTGTATTTTCAATTTTTACAATAATCAGAAATAAATAGTATATTGTTGTATTAGGAGTAGAAGCTTTACTTTTTTGTGCTGAAGCGGTAGGTTTGCGAGCCGAACGTAGTGAGGCTTGCAATACTGCTGAAGCACAAAACAGTGCTTCTACTCCGTATGCAACACGCTATTTTTTCTCCAAACGAATGGGGTAAGCTCGGGGGCAAGTGAATGGTTGAGCGGCAGCAAAAGTACGAGCGGCACTAAAATGACTTCTACTACCGCTCCAGCGGCACTAAAAGTACTTTTGCTGCCGCTGGGGTTGCCAAGCAGCATAGAAATTAAATTTCTACCACCTCGACAGGTATTACCCACTGGATTTGACTAGCAGCATAGAAATCAAATTTCTGACATCTTGACAGGGGTTAACAAGGTGATGTTTCTCTGACGTTTGGAGAAAATTTTAATTTTCTTATTTTTCATTTGCTCGACTGGCGTGAAATTGCGAAATGCTGCAATTTCGCGCACTGTGAATAAGGCTTAACAAATAAAAATTGATATACAAAATGGTTGCTATCAGTGACGTTGCTATGTGGTAAAGTGTTGCTATCGACGTAAAGTGGCACTTTACCACTCAATTTTGAATGCAGTTATGTATCACATTACTGTCAAAAATGCGATAATAGCTATTTACCTAACAAGTGCGGAAAAATATTTTTTCTACGAGCGTGCATTTTTGATTACTTTCCCGCACGCATCTTAGTTCCGAAAATGTCACTTTCCCGCACTAGTGCGCGATTTTGTTTTTCCCGCACTAGTGCGGGAAAGTGGCGTTCAGAAGAAGTGTCAGTTTTGTTAAATAATCAAACATTTTATCTATTTTGTCTGCCTACATTTTTGCTAGATATACTATTATGCGCTCATAAACTATTTTAAATATTCCTATTTTCTATTTTAATCCATATTAATCTAATTTGTGAATATTTCAAAAATTTTATAATTTTTTTTGACATTGTTTGACTTTTTGGTTCCTTTGAGGCGGGGCAGTTCTTTTACCTTAGAAATTTTGTTTATTGTAACATCAAATCGATTTAATACATATTTTTTTTCAATCATTCTTGAAAGTAAACGTAAAAATATAAAAATAAGTAATTTTGTAACTAAATTTCTTTAATAATATATCGCTTTGAATTTACTTTTTTTTTATATTTGAACGCGCTCGTAGAAAAAATAATGTTCCTAACTCATGCGGAAAGTATCTTTTCCGCACTCGACTGCTTGCCCGAACTCCGCTTCGCGTCGTTCGGGTCAACGGCAGTCGCGTGCGGGAAAGTATCACTTTCCGCACTTGTTAGGAAAATAACTATTCCGCAAGTGTTAGGTACAATATTTTTCCTACAGGCGTAAAAATGTAAAATTTTTCTTTTTTTTTTTGACATATCAGTGCGGTAAAATTTTTTCCGCACTGACAGCCTTGCGGAAAAACTTTTTCCGCACTGATATGTCAAAAAAAAAGTTTTACCGCACCGTGCGGGAAAACTCATTTTCCGCACGCATATCAGTGCGGAAAATCGATTTTTCCGCACGGCTGTAGGAAATAGTTATTTACCTAACAAATGCGGAAAGTGATACTTTACCGCACGCAACGGCAGTTGACCGAACGACGCGAAGCGGAGTTCGGTCAAGCCGTTAAGGGCGGTAAAGTATCACTTTCCGCATGTGTTAGGTACAAAATTTTACCTATGAGCATCTACATCTCCAAAAAAGGCATTGATAAAATTAATTAATGAATCAGATTAATTAATGAAATTAGATAAGATTTAGAAATGATCAAAAATCCATTTTCTGAAAAAGAGAGGAATTTTAATTATAAATATCAAATTCTACTTTACCGCACACTATGCGGTAAAGTGCACTTTACCGCACACTTTGTGTTCTATTTTACCGCATACTATGCTGTAAAGTTAACTTTACCGCACACTATGCGGTAAAGTGCACTTTACCGCATAGTGTGCGGTAAAGTGATACTTTCCATTTGCAAATACGTGCGGTAAAGTGCACTTTACCGTACGCTCGTAGGTAAATACTATTACCCGACACGCGTTATCAACAACACCACTCCTCCTTCAGAGTCGTGGTGTTGCTGCGTAACGCGTTTCGTGACAGGTAAAAGTATTATCCGGTAATCCTGAAATCTCTTGTGGTATTACATTCGAAAATATTGGCAACTTTTCTCAACCTTGTCATGAATCAAAAAAAATCAGTAGGTACTAAAAAATTAAATTTTCGTTTTGATTTTTTTTCTGTTTAAATTGGTTACATGGAAATGATGTTAGGGTTTTTTTCGACTAATTTATACCCGTTCTATCGATTAAAAAGATCAAAATTCGAAGAATATAAAAAGTTAAAATTTCAATTTTTTTCGTCACCCTTTGGATTCTTATTTGAAAATCTTAGAGCTTCAATATCTTGAAATCTGTGAGAGAAATTGATTCAAAATTTTCAGAAATTGTAGCTCTTATCAAGCTCTAAAAAACCTGTATTGGAAACATATTCAAGTCTATAGTTTTTGAGAAAATTGAGTTTAAAGTTTTTGATTAAATCAAATTTCAATTAAAATTAGTGACTATATTATAATAAATCCTTTTTTGGAAAGTTTCTTTTTTCGTTGCTGGCTACGTAAATGTAGCACTCCTCGCAGTATCGCGGGAAAATAAAATAAAGATCAAAAAGCTTTAGCTGTCAACAAATTGGCTCTAAATCTATCATTACTCCAATTAATCTCGATGTCATCACACAGAACGCAAAAGCCTAATATTGTCAGCACTTCCTTTTTTTCGATAATGTGCATGGGCATCTTCCGGTTGCGATGCTTTCCAAAAGAAATCCCACAGTTAGTTAAAGGGGGATAGAGTTTGCGCCCTCTAAACTCGACTTGGTTTCGGGATATCGGCCACAGTTTATCCGCGTTCCCGGTACTGTGCAGAGCAGTGAGTAAAGGACAACTTTCGAAGTTCGTTCGGGACGAAAAAGACGCGCTCGTTCGGGATTTTTTTTTGTGATTTGTTCTTTGGAGGGACGATTTTGGATCTGGATTTTTTTTATGATGTAATATTTTTGTATTTATTTTTTTCAAATAAGACTATAAAAAATATTTGGAAGAAAATCTTGAAACTATTCATAAAATAGCAGAAAAAATTCAAATATTTATACCAATATTTTTCGAATTACCAAAAATTCTCAAAATATATTGTTCGTAAATTAGCAAAATGACACGATCAGCCATAAAATTTTCTTGTAAACAAAACATTGGATTTCCGGCAAAAGGAAAACATATTAAAGAAAGCTTTCCCCCGGGAACGACGCGACATGAATATTTAAACTGTGCGTTGAGATCGGGAAAGAAAAAAAGTTGCCGAGATACATATTGTATTATGGAGAGCTTTGGAAAAACGCTTTTGCAACTTTGTAACTTTGTAACTTTTGAAATTATTATAAATATGATATTTGAAAAAAACTAAACTTGAACAGTTCTATTTAAAAAAAAAATACCTGTTTTTCGAACTTCCAAAATTGGTTGTTAGATAGAATGAAAAATAGTAAACGAAATCGGGAGAACTTGCGGTTTTCACTGGAAACTAATCACAACCTCTTGCGGAAGTGCAAGTCGAAACGTTCAATTTCTCAGAATTAAATTTCTACTCACACAAAAACTTGTACATAGTTTTGTTTTAAAAATTTGAACTGAAAAAAGCTTCAATTCCATGTGTAATTTCTATGAAAAAAAAAGACGAAATTTTAAAAAAAGTTTATTAAGTAATTTCATTTGGAAAGCTATTCAATTTCTATAGTAAAATGTCAGTTATGCATCGTTTTTCCAATTTTCATTCGACCTTATTAAGCCAAAAATATCATTTCATCCTCCTCGTCCCATTATTTCTCACCTATAAGCCAGTTCCTTTAATATTCCCAACTCTTTCCGTCTTGATTACACGCCTAAAAAGTCATTCCCACTATTCCCAGGTAATTAAAGCTTAAATGAAAAATTGTTTATTTTTTTTTTCTTGTCGTCATAATATCAAGTTCGCCGCAAATGGCTTTTCGGTCTAGGCACCGTCAGTTGAAAATTGTTTTATTCTTTTTTTCGGTCCACTAATTAAACGGAAAATTAAAAATTGGACCTCTGATATTTCGTTATGTTTTCTTTAACGGGCGGCAGTGTATTTACCTTTCGGTAATGGTGTTTATATGGTGGAAAATTGTTCAATCAAACACTTTTTTAATTGAATTTGAAAACGTTGTTAGAAAGATAATTAAAGTTAAAGCACTAGAGTCTTTTGATCGCAATTTGTGGGAGTTTTTCTCAAAAAGCTTTCGGATTTTTCCCAGTCGCCTTTGAAGTTTAACGACTTCTTTTAATGCCTTAAATATTCAAAAGTTTGGTTTTCTTTGAATCACCTACGTGTAGAATACTTACCATACCTAATGAATAGTAAAATGTCAAAAAGCTTAGAAAATATCTATAACTATTTATATTTAAATTTATAAATAAATCTGATAGATATAATTCTGGTGTCACAATGTTTGTAATAATACTCCTCTGAAACGGCTTGACCGATTTTTATGAAATTTTATATGTATATTAGGTAGGTCTGAGAATCGGTCGTCATCTATTTTTTATACCCCCAAGTGACAAGGGTGGTCCACCCGAAATTTTTGTTTTTTTTTTTTGACAACCTTGTTCATTTTTATGTTTTTATGATGTTGCATTAAAAAATACATACAACCCTAAATTTTAACTCTTCTACCACCAACCCCTATTTTTTAATAGCGATATTAGCTGACCCGGGTGCCGTCATTACTATCTGCACTATTATGCAGAACCGATCTTCTCTATAAAACAGTAGGCTTTGTAATACGAAACACCGCGTTGCTTATCATTTCTAACTGTACTAATGTACAGCGCGAGTAACCTCTACATCTTGGTATAGGTAGTAAATGAACAACTGCACGTGTGGGAGCTCCTAAGCATACTTAATGCGAGTACACAAACTATTTACGCTCTATGCAATAGGTCACCATGAAATTTTCGATATTTTCACTTTGCTCAAGTGTTAATTCAGCACAAGATGGTGTCATCCTTTGCTTGAAATATGTCCAAAATAGTTCTTTCGTTTCATTTGTCGGATGCAAATAACTAAATGCCTCAGCGACTTCTATTTGATGGCTGTGTTTTGTTAATGTTCAATCTAAAAATAATGAAATTTTCCAAATGTGTGCAAAGTAGCTAGAGCCGCACAGTTAGAGGACGAAATATCTCACCAAATAGCAAAACAGAATATTTCTGTTTGGACGTAGGTATGGAATTATATTGAATATCAAACACTTACGCTTATGACAATATTCAATTCCTTCTTCAATAAGGAATCGTTTGTATTGGAATTTTTGGTAATTTTTTTCATTAAAAATGAAATCCTAACGTCACAATTTCGATTTCACACCCTGCTCTGACTTCTATTATTACAGTCCACTTCATTAAAGCTGCTACGGTGACATTTAAATACCTTCTTATAATCATACTTCTGAAGATGAGGTAATAGACCCTGAGATAGGGTCTGTTTTGTGGAGTCATTTTTTTTTTGTCTGGCATTTTGAGGGATGAATGTGGCTAGGTAGCTGATGAGAATATAAGTGGTTTTAATGCCTGCCCCCTGTCCGAAATGTCCACAGAATGTTTCGCCGGAAGACTCGATTTCGAACTGTGATTACCGTCTGGCGATTTTTCAGCGTTATTTTCACAACAAAACCTTCCATTCTCTCAATTGCCAGACAAAAACTAAACGCGGAAAGTTCTTTTCTTTTCTCTTGGAAGTTGACACCCATCCCCAGTTTTTCAGCTATTGAAAAGCATCTGGTATTTTTCATGGCTGAATTATTTATCATTGTCAATCTTTTATTTAAAAGCCAGACAATTTGAGATCATTAAACAAAAATTCTTCATGTAAATCAATTTTTGTCTTCTGCAAATTTTCGAACGGGAGGCAGGCATTGAAATCACCCATATTGCCAGACAAAAAAAAATGACTCCACTAAACAGCCCCTATCTCACAGTCTATAATGTGTATCGTGAATCTCATATTCCAATTATTTACATCTTCATAGATGCAGTTTTGCACTAGATCGTCGGACTCTGTGATTTCTTTAATATTAAATGGATATTCACCCATTTAAATAACAAACATAAAAGCAACAAAACAGCGTAGACAACCCAGTCGTTGGTTACAAATGGGTGTTCGCAAAGAAGAAAACGTGTCATGCGAAAAAAGGGAATGACATTTCACGAACTGTGCTCGGGTGTATTGAGAGTAGGTAGGCAAGCGTGTTAAGGCATTTACTACCTATACCACAATGTAGAGCTTACGCGCGCTGTAGATTAGTATAGTTAGAAATGTTAAGCAACGCGGTGTTTCGTATTACAAAGCCTACTGTCTTATAGAGCAGATCGGTTCTGCATTATAGTTTAGATAGTAATTACGCATCCCGCGTACTGTTCTTTTCAATATAGTCGAGTTAATCATCTACTAATAAAGCTGAAAATGTTTCAGTCGATCCAAAACCCTACCGAATTGAGAATAGAACGTTGGGCGAAAATTTAAATATGATTGGCAAAAGAGTTTTGAAGAGTTAAAATTAAATACAAACCACCATATAATTATGTTATCAATAATTATATTAAAACTAAAACTCCTCACCAATCAGATTTGAATTATGGCTTAACATTCTATTCTCAATCTCATGGGGTTTCAGATCGATTGAAACATTTTTAGTAGTGATGTGCAACTTGGATACTTGGGGAGTATCGGCTTCGAATGGATACTTGAACTAAATGTACCGAATACTTTCGAACCTATGTGTTGGGTTTGTTGAGAATTGGGATTGGCAATGATGCATAACTAGCGGGGAATCCCACAGACAACAGTCACAAAGTCTATGTAACATAGCGCACGAATTTCGTACGAATTACAAATCTGCATGCTGCATGAATACAGATTTCTGTAAATTTTGAAGGATTTCATAATTTTACCGCTACTTGCTAGACCCTATTCTTGCGGATTCACTCTGAGCGTGAGAAAAAAAAGTATCCAGAGTATCCAAGCATTTGAAAATAAAGTATCGGATACGTCAAATTTAGCAAAGATCACTGACTGAGCCACAGCAACGCGTGGCCGGGTCAGCCAGTACATATATGATATTCTTTATAATTAAGTTTTGAATTATATACTTATACAATAATCAACTCAATATGAATCTACTCATATTGTTGATGACTAGTGATTCAATGCGACTCTAAGAGAATAATTGTCTGTCCAACCGACAGATATACGACCCAGATATTTTAAATACGCCTTTGAAGTCGTTTCCTAACTTTTATTTTCACTATATCTTTTTATATTCTCGCCTAATTTGAGACAGATGTTGCGACTGATTCTGAATAAAAATGCAACTTGAATTATTATTTGAAACTTGATCCGATGCAATTTTTCTTGCAAGATAAATATAAATATTTTTGTTTAAAATCACTAGCTCTAGACGTTTTTAATTAAGAAAAATGTCTTGAAAATTAAACTTTAATTTTAGATTTATTATTCTTCGGTGATTACTGTTCTACATTACTTCTTGAAAAAAATAATCTGCGCTTTGAAAAGTACTTCTCTGTTGTAAATTTAATAAATTTAATCTAGATGAATCTGCTAATTTGTGACGAATCAAACTGATCTTTCTAAATATCTGTTTCTACTAGTTTTTGAGCAGGCTCTGAGCACATAGAGAAAAAATAAATGCGAGCTCATATCCTCATAATATTTAACATTGCAGTTTCTATATTAAATACATTTATTTCCTAAGGATCTTATCAATATAAACTTGAATTTAACACGAAGTGACATTGTGACGAATGTCAATCAAATTGCTCTGATTAAGTACTGTTATTTTCGACGCCCTGTGTAGACCCGAAGCTCAGACTTGGTGCAGTAATATTATATCCGCTGTCCATTCTACCTGCTCTATTTATAGATATTTTTTTCAATTGGTCGACTACGAAGAAGTTA